ATAGAAAAGAAAATTCAAGGTATTAAAGTATTAAAAGTACATTGAGTGTACCAAATTGATAAAAGGGGTAAACTTTAGGGTACCAAAGTGAATAACTAACCTTTTTTCCATTTTCACACACCGTGAGTACAACTTCATCATATATGATAGGATTGTGTTACTCCAGCAAGTCTTCACCTAATTTACGGATCGAATAAGGCTTTTAGAAGAAATATTCTAATTTCTGTGTGACCTATATCTTTCAGGAAAGTTCCTTCTATACCACTTTCTCAAATATATCACTCTACAAATTTGATTAAATTTTACTAAAATAACATTAGGCCACTGTAACATTGCTCACAAATTTTACCATTTTCTACTTACATCCTAACAATGTTAATATAAATTACACATCAAAATCAGAATACACCCCACTATCCCTCAAAAGCCTATTCTCCTCCTCCACATAGTTCTTCCCCTTGCTCGCTTGCCCAATATCCCTCTTCCTCTTCTCCTTCTATGAAAACAACTTGCTCTTCTCTTTCTTTTCAGAGGAATATTATTTACTACATTATCCGTGACATTTCATTAAAACTCTAGCATTTGAAGTTATAACTAAGGATACAAATGGGATATTACTAATATCGTGACATTTCATTAAAACTCTAGCATTTGAAGTTATAACTAAGGATACAAATGGGATATTACTAATATACGTGAGCATATCAACAAACAACTTGTATGCATGGGTTCAACTATTTGTAACAAGAAAAAATATATGATAATAGGGAACAACATCAAAGAAATGTAAGAATCAAGAAAGAGAGGGTATAGACAAAGAAATTTTAAAACTAAAATCAAAGTTAAAAATTTGCAGAAATCATACCCAAATTTTTTTACTGGTAATCACTTTCCTGAATTTGTTTCCTTCCCGATGCACTAAAAGTTAAGATTTGAAAAGATGATGGCAGAGAAGGTGTAATATTTTTCTGAAAACTTAATTTGGGGTTGCATCTAAGATGATAAGGATAATAATAAATTGTAAATTGATTGCCCATTGATGAAAGTAGAGAGAGCAGTGATACATTGAAGGATCTGAATAGTAATCGAATGAGAGAGAGAAGAATGGAAATTTGAGACTTTTGAGTTTCTGATTTCTGTGTACAAACTTGATTATGTTTTCAACTATGAGACTTTTGAGTTTCTGATTTCTGTGTACAAACTTGATTATGTTTTCAACTATTTCCATGAACAAATGAATGATGAAGACGTTTCTGATTTCTGTGTACAAACTTGATTATGTTTTCAACTATTTCCATGAACAAATGAATGATGAAGACACTCAATTAAAGTTATATTTTATCTACAATATAGTTACATTTCTTTGTTGTTTTTCTATACCTGATGAAGGATTCTAGTAAGTCACTTCTTCACCCTTGCATTGATGAGTACCTGAACACTATCATCAATCCTGCATGTGAAGCTCTGATCAATGTCATGACCTGCAATCTCATAATTTTTTAAAGAAATCGGAGGTTAAAACTAAAATAGATAGGCGCTGTCCTACATTCTTTCACTTTATACACCAACTATCAATTGAAGTATTCATTAATTTGGAGCCAAGGAGAGTTGAAAAGTCTAATCATGAATTTTTTTGAGAGAAGGTCAATTAGAAGATTCATTAGTTGAAATTTCTTTTGATAAATTATTAATTGGAAGTTTAAGGGGTTAAGTATTGGAACTTCTCACAAACCTTTTCTCAAAGTATTCATCTCTGGTTTAGACTATAAAATTTTTCTCAAGAATGAGCATATAATTAACTTATGTTATGAAGTAAAAGAAAATAAAATTATTTAGATGCAACACACATAAAAACCGTGTAATCTTTCCTTGCTTACAGATTCTAAAAATTCCCCTAAAGTGCCCAAAAATCACATGAAATTAAATTAAGCGACAAAATAAAGTCAACTAATATTTATCATGATGGATCAGGAGAAGGCAGAATTATATAAACCTGATATGTACTATATCGAAATTCCCCATCATTTGTAGTTCCTGAAAGGAAAAAAATTAGAAGCAAGTGGAATAACAATTTTCTCTAAAGATTGTATACTATTTACTTTTTTCATCATATGCTTAGAGTATTTATAGCTACAAATGAAGACTATCAGAATTCATTACTAATAAAAAAATGACTCTTGGATATCATTCCAAAATAACTGAATAACACATAAAAACTAATAACAAAATGTAACTCCTATTGCATTTAGTATGTATTATTAGACATTAAAGCCATACAAATATTTAAGCATGTAGTGGGCTTTGCATCCTAATCCACGTCCATAACAATATGCTTTGGGTTATAACAAATGTACCATTCAAAGTTATAGTATAATTTATAAAATATATTATAGTATAGTTACATACAGACATATTAAACTATATTTTAGTATACATTTTTCTTTTATGTATAATATACTGTAGATATAAAATTTAGTATAATATAGAGATATCAAACTATGATAATTATTTATATCATACATTAATTTTAAGTGTACATATTTGTTGATTATAATTATAATTATAGTATAATGTATAATATAATATAGATATAAAGTTCATTAATTATTAATACCTAAACTTCACATTCTTCTTTTATGTATAATACACTGTAGATATAAAATTTAGTATAATATAGAGATATCAAACTATGGTAATTATTTATATCATACATTAATTTTAAGTGTACATATTTGTTTGATTATAATTATAATTATAGTATAATGTATAATATAATATAGATATAAAGTTCATTAATTATTAATACCTAAACTTCATTATAAGCTTTTTATACTATAGGTCAAAATTATATATTTAACTATACTAAATATAAGATTGGATGTTATGTGACAATTTTGAAGGGATCTAGTTTATGTATGTATGCGTATATATACACTTGTTGTCCTTTTATTGGGATCTTCAGTGAACCATAGAGAATAAGTAGCTCAAAATTTTATATGAAACACATCAGCATAATTAGAACTATACATACTAAAGCAAATGATACAATAAAGTTCTTTTAGCATTAAAGGATAGACTCGGTGACTATTGCACACAAAGAGTCTCCCTCTTTGTGGAATTATCTTTTTTCCTAAATCTTTTTGTCATAATTTACCCCAAATATATAAGATGAAAAAGAAACAAAGAGATGTGGATAAGAAATGAGTTTCTCCAATTACGACAACACACACCACACTGAAACTTTAATTTAGATAATATAAATGCATTTATCCATGCACAGAAGTACTAAAAAATGTGAATGGATGGAACTCATGTCCCAACTTCATCATGAGCTCCTCTGACACCCTCCTTCTCCACCAAACCTTCATCACCACCTCCAAATCCACATCCCTTACTCAATCGAATTACTTGTCACTACTTCCTTTGTCAGACCCATCATCTTCATCAAATCAACTACAATTGCCCATCGAACCCAGCTCATCCACCTCCTCTGACATCGTCTTTGGCCCCTACTATCGAAATTGCCAAGCTCGCTACAACCACCTTCATCAAATTCACCTCACCACTAATACCGAGCTTGCCTCAATGGCAGAAGCAAGTCTTCCAGTATTCGAACTCCCCGTCTTCCTTTAATTTCATTGCATTGGCAGAGCAAGAAGAGTAGCAGAGGGGGAAAAAGTAGAACTTAGACACTTTAATCATTTGATTTGACCTAATATTTATTATGTGAAGAGTGGTAGAGGGGGGACCTGGGAAGAATATATAGGGAGTGAAATAAAACAACTGGAAGTTGGAGGGGTTCGTGATAACTTGTTTGATGTATCAAGAGGAGCTCACTTGTCAAAGATGTTAATACACGAAAAGAAGCTTTCCAAACTGCTAATTTTCTTTTTTATGAAATGTTTCCATTAGTGGGACATTAAATTTTCACTCATTAGAAAATCTAAGTTTTGTGGGGACTACTTAAGGTAGAATTAGAGAAGTGTAAACTATTTTCTATCTTGGTTTGTGTCTCTCAGGCACTATAAACTATTAAAGTCTGAATAAAACGTTTCATCTATGCCTTTACATATGCGCACATAAACACCAAGTTATTGTTAACAAGTTAATTAAATAATGATTAATTTATTAATTTAATTAGAGTTACATAATTAATTATTTTAATTTTTATTTAAAACCCCTCTAGATGAGATATACACATTATTTGCAGCTGATAAGCACTAAAAAAATTAATGTTTAATTATAATCTTATACTATTAAAAATCTAATGTTTAATATAAACTTGAACTATTATAATCTAATTGGAGTTGCATTATTACATAAATAATAATTCCTACAATATATTAAAACATCATACACTTGATAATCTAATACTATTATGATAATTAATTTAAGTATTATCTTAGATATAATTTATTTAATAATCTAAAGAATAGTTATAATATAATATAAACCTTTAATTAATGTGATTTAATAAGATTGAGAGTTATGATAATAGAGTAAATTGGTTAATTTCATGAAAGATGAAGGACATTTTTGGGAAATAAAAGTTTTTCTAGTACTCCCTCTTTTAAATGGAGAATGATAATATCTTAAAGTAGATGTGTTCTTTTTATGACCCTTAAACTTAAGGAGGAATTTCTGATATTTTAAAAGTTATACGAGGTTATAATTATCCAAAGTTACAGGGTTTTTTTGATATTTATGGCCTAAATATTCATGGCAATTCACATTCTAGAAATTAGTAATAAATTTTTCATACTAGCATTACTCTATACAAATGGTATCACATTCACGTGTCAGTGAATAATAAGTCCAAGCCCACATTTGGTGTCAAGAACAATTCAGGCGATCCTTTCCCGTCCTTCTTCTGTTGGGCTTTTGGCATGTTTGAATGGAGTTCTTCATGTGTTGGGGTTTTGGCCTGTTTGGATAGAGGGTGGAGAGGGGAGGGGAATAGAAATCTAATTTTAACATTGTTTGAGAGTTCCATTTAAGAGGGGAAAAGAGGAGAATATGAAGAAAATTTGAGCCAAAATCTTATATCTTGTTTGGGAGTTCCATTTAGAAGAATAGAAAAAAAGAATGGAGAAAAATTTAAGTCAAAATCTTACACATTGTTTGGGAGTTTTATTCCAAAAGATAAAAAAAATTTAAGCCAAAATCTTACCGCAAATAGAAATGTTAGGGGCACACCCTCAACCACAATCTCAACCACACCTCCTCTCCCTCTATAGTGCATTGGGCCCCACATCAAATTTTTTTAAAAAATTTGATGTGGGGTCCAACGCACTATAGAGGGAGAGGAGGTGTGGTTGAGGGTGTGGTTGGGGTTGTAAGAGCATCTCCAACAGCTTCCCCATTTCTCACTTTTGGAGAATTTAGTTAGGTTTTTGGTCCAACAGATTCTCCATCTCATTCCCCAAAATAGGGATGAAGGAGAAAAAATGGGGAAGCTTCCCCAAATCTGCAGCATTCTCCAAATTTTTGGAGGAAAAAAATAGATTCTTCAAAATGGGGAAGCTGTTGGAGTTGGTGTAAAAATTAGTTGGAGAATATGACTTTTGCTTCCCCATTTTGGAGAAAATTTTAGAGAAACTGTTGGAGATGCTCTAAGAGCATCTCCAACAGCTTCCACATTTCCCACTTTTAGAGAATTTAGTTAGGTTTTTGGCCCAACAGATTCCCCATCTCATTCCCCAAAATAAGGATGAAGGAGAAAAAATGGGGAAGCTTCCCCAAATCTGCAGCATTCTCCAAATTTTTGGAGGAAAAAAGAGATTCTTCAAAATGGGGAAGCTGTTGGAGTTGATGTAAAAATTAGTTGGAGAATATGACTTTTGCTTCCCCATTTTGAAGAAAGTTTTGGAGATGCACCACTCTACCGCAAATTATAGTAGCAATGAACAGGAATATTCCACCATCTTCCTTTCCCTTCCTTCACATCTCCCGAACACGTTGTTTCTCTCTCTCAACAAAACCCTAATTACATAAAATCCCTCCAAAATCTTACAATTGAATTAAACCTAAACCCAAAAAAACTTCAGTCGACCACTCGCATTAACGTCGTCAACGAACAGAAGATGGAGTACGAGACGGAGAACGGCCAAGGGCTTGAGAACAACAGCGGAAGCGATGGAACTGAAGGTTTGAGGTGAGATTCAAACTGAATTGAGAATAATTTTGCAATTTAAACCTTTCTCTATACGAAAATATTGCAAATGTCTCTTATCGGGCTGATCTTTTTGGGCTGAAATTCTAGTAGTCAGGATTTTTATTATAGAAGCTAGGGAATCCTTGGTTTGCTCGTGCTCAGTTTCTCGAAATGATTCCTTGTTCAAATTTTATTGAATTTAATGATTTAAGGTTGCGTTTGGATTCAGCTCTAGAGTTTGAAAATTTTAATTTCAATTCCAATTCTTTTGTTTGGGAATCTTTATAAATCTCAATTCCAAATTCATTGTTTGGGGAACATTGGAATTTCAATTCGGCAATAGTACAAGGACCCTATCCCCTCAATTTATTAGAGTCGACAACACTCACAATAAAAAGAAACAACCAAATCTCAATTTACATGTTAAACATATTCGCATTTCTAAGCTTACCCTCGACAACGCCCACAGAAAAGAAAAGAAGCAACCAAATCTCAATTGATAGTAATCATCATGGTGCAAGAAACAAGGCATAACAACGACAAGCAGAGCTTCAAATACAAGTAGAAAAAGACTTAGTTTAGCATCTGTACAATGAAATCAAGAAGCAAGGGGAACCTGTAGCAAGTTCTGCAATACAACGAACAAGGCAAATAATTCGTAAACAAACAAAGAGGAATCTTTAAGATTGCATTATGACGATCATAAAGAGGCTCGATCCTCTCTTCTTTCTTCCTCTTGCTTAGCTTTAATCTAAGAGCTATAATCACCTTACACTGTCGAGTTTGACTTTCCAAGACATAACAAAATCCAATCCAACTTCTTATTGTCAGGAAGATACTTTAGCATTTGGAAGTCATCCATAGTACCATCTATGAACATCTTTAATAGCCCCTAAAACTTGATACTAAAGAAACCTGACATTTTAGATATCTCAGCATACATCTCTTCGCAATTGGGTTTTGGTGGGTTCGTACTCACCAAATACTCCTTGAGTATCTCAGTAACGGGTAACGCTAGTACCAACATCTGCTAAATTCTATCTTGAGCATCTTAATCTGGAAGTTCATATCCACTAGAGCTCTCCCCTTCATTCCTTGAATTTTCCTATGAAAACATGAGCAAAGCACAAAAACATAGTGAGACAAAAACTCGAAAGAAGATAGATATATGAATTTCTTATGTCTATGCTTTCTGGAACTCAAGAGGTGGTTTCATGCCTTTAAAGAAGAACATTTCATAAGATGCAAAACAATATACATTGGTTTACCGCTACAAAATCTCTACAAATCTCAAGAGGTGGTTCATGCCTTGGAAGAAGAACAACTCGTAATGAACATGATGGAAAACAATAAACATTGGTTTACCACTGCAAATCTCTGCAAATCTCAGATGTTTGTCTCCTATGTAATGGAGTGAATGGTCATTACATATGAGTAGAAAATACAGTCGTCCTTTATGGTGGTGTTGGAATAACTACAAAGTTAACATAAGTATACTGCTAATGGCAAAGAAACATGATAGCTATTTTGACTTTAACTACTATGAATGAGGAAGGGGATCTAATACCATTTTAGGTCTTTGAATTCGAAGGAACTGAAAGTCAGGAGCATAATCGAACAAATTTTAATGCATCATTTGCCTTAGCAAAGAAACTAGAGATTTTTTTAAAGCCTTATATTTAACTCTGTCGAGCTACTATCTAAAAATGCTGATAAAAGTTTAGGAACAATAAGAGAAAAAAACCCCTTATAGTACAAGGGCCTGTTAATAATTAGCTAGCCCCAAGCTGAAAGCAATTACCGTCTTAATTCAATAACGCATACTGAACATGCAAGTTCAACAGTAAGTTTCTAGGTGCCAAACAAGACCAATAGCCAAGAAAACTCAAGGCACAGATATTATAAATAAACAAGACTAAGAAACAAAATCCAATATTTAGTGTTGTATCAAGCACTAAACCTTAGGAAAAAGTTTAGAATCTAAAATTCTAAATANCAATAAATTAGGTAGAACCACTCTTTGATAAGCAATAAAACCACATATACTATAAAATTCTTGAGTAATTGGGCTAGTAAAATATTTTTTATTACCAAATATGCATATTTTTCCAAAAGCAGGCAACAAAATAATTGACAATAAGAAGGAATATCTTCTGTCCATTTAGAAATATAGAACAAAATAGTAAAAAAAACATGTTACATACATTGCGTAGAGGTTACCAGAAGACGTAACTACTTTTATTGCAAGATAGAAACTTGAATTGTTAGACAAGAAAACAAAATCTCAGAATTATGATCTCCAAAACATAATTGAATTAAATCTGCATAGTTTGACTTTTGAATAAGTATAGTGAATGTCTCACAAATTCTTTCTTGATTGAGGTAATAAAAACAACTAATGACTTTCAACCAAATTAATAACAAATATTATGTATGAAGAGTTAGTATTCTAATTTGAAATATACATATAAAACCAAATATTTTTAGAGTACGAGAGGTGGGAGTAGGGGAATGTGAGTTGAGGGAAGGGACATCACAAATTAACTAAAAATTAAAGAGAGAGGAGTCTCTCCAATTTTATTTGTAGCGGGGGGGGGGCGGTGTGAGGCGCTCGGTCGTAACCGAGGCGCGAGGCCACAATAAAAAAAAAAATTATGAGGGAAACATGAACTATGGAAGGATGTCCATCTCTTTTCTCCCCTCCAACAAAATATGAAGGCATGATATTTTTCTTCTATTTTTTTAAATTATGGTCCTACAAACCAAGATAAAAAGGAACAGAATGAACTATCAAGATGAAAGCTTCCAATTATGAGTCTTCCTAAGCCAACTTAATGAATGGTAGAACGATACACATAAGTGCATAAAATGGTTTGAGGATGGTTCATATAGAACTATATGTACGTGGAAAGGCAAACACAGACAATATTCATTTACAAAACAAGCATCCAGAACAAGCCAGTGAAGTAACTGTACTCACTATGAGAAAAGAAATCTTTATATATAACCATCTTAAATAATTAATTAAGAAAGAAGCTGAAGATGGTTTATGCTTTCTTCTTAATGATCTATGGTTACAAACGTGTGTCAAGAGTTAAGAAGAATTAATGAAAAATTATATCTACTTGGACGTAAAATTTTCAAAATAGCTAAAGGATTTGATAGCCAGATTCTACAAGCTTTGATATGGATATTCATTCAACAACTAGGTGAACAACATAAGAGACACTGCCATAGTAATTTCCTCTGAAGCACGGATTCGCCCCGGAGGCCACGAATCCGTGTCTGACTCGAATCAGACACAGATTCGTCACGACACATGTACGACACACGACATGTGTCAATCCGTGTCCGACACGGGTCAACGGTCAAATTAGGCTCGGATACGGTCAAAGGAGCTCGGACACGGTTCGGATTCGCCGAAGGCCGATTCATTCAGGTTGCGGGTTACGAGTTTGGTTGTTAAAATCCAACCCGAACCATTCGATTAAAAAATCCATCCTTATTTCTCAAATCTCCCGTTCAATTCGATCCTCAGCTTCCTCAAACGAAAGAAAAAAAAGAAAAAACTCTAATCCTAACCCTAATCCTCTCTCTCAATCTCTCAGCTCACTCCCGTTCGATTCGATCACCTCCACTGTTCCGACCCGATCCCGCTGACCGCTCCGTTGTTCCGACCTGATCCTACCGACCGACTCCTCCTTCCTCCGACTCCTTAAGTCCACCCTTCATTCCTCCTCCCCGTCCAGCACAATCACCACCACTGTCATCATTATCTCCTCTGGTTTTTGAGTTCGAGCAGCAGCCCAGCGACATATTATTATCATAAATCTGATAGAGAAAGTTACAAATAATATATTTTAGATTGTTATTTTGTGATATATTCATATTTTAAATTATTAGTTGAATTTTATAAATTTTTCTATATATAATAATAATTTTAAAAAAAATTCCTTGCTGTATCCCCGTATCCTATTTTTTAGATTTTGTCGTATCCCGTATCCGTGTTCGTGTCGTATCTGTGTCCCGTATCCGTATCCGTGCATCATAGGTAATTTCAAGTATAATACTTATTTTTGCATCACATTTGTTGGAGCTTTCCTATGTTGCAAAGTGATAAAAGTGGTATGTGAGACAAATTCTTTTTTACTTGTTTGGAAATTATGTGCTTCAACCAAAGAGGCTTTTTTATATATGAAACATCACTTTATGACCATTGTTTTAGCAGCTCCGATGTTGGTATTATGAAAATAATAGGCTAATCATTATTCAGTTCAAATAACTAACATATATGCAAAACAAAACCAGTAATTAACCAAAGCATGTAGGTAGGTATTAACAAGGAACTTACTATATGTTAAGGTTTCAATTTGCTCAGTCAACTTTTTTTGGTCCACCTCAAAACCTCTCTTGAACTTGCACAAAGTCAAAAATGTGATAGATAGAACTTAGAAAACTTAACAGTAATGAGCATCAAGCAGATGGACTTCTAGTCGGTTACATGTACATACTGACAATCAAACAGAAGATATAAAGAGGAAAATTTTTAATTCTTGAAATACCTTTATGAACGAGAAATAAGAAAAATTCTCAAGAAAAACTGTAGATTCTTTAGCTTATAACAAAAATTTTGAAGAAAGAGACATAAAAAAGACCAGTGAATAATCTTAGTATTAGTAGCAAAAGTAATACAATTCCTAAAAAAACAATATAATACTTAGACAAGCTAATCTCCAATTTTCCACTCTTTGACGGCCAGAAAAAGAAATTTTACATGATATTCACAATCTAGCTTTTCCTTGAGAAGTCCCCATTCAGTAACCCTAATTTTTAATAAATAGAAAGATATCTAATCATATTTTCATTTTACTGGAGATTTAAACAAAAGAAAAAATATGAAAAATCCAGATAATTTAATAGTTGCCAAAGCTTCAGAATGAACAGTATCAAAACTAAATTAACATCAGGCAGAGATCAACAATAATGCCTCAATAAAATGTTATGAGTTTACCTGTAATAGAATAAACAACAACAATATAGTGGATCTCCACAGAGAAATCGATCGAATTGATGGAAGGAAATTAGACCTCACGATCTCTCTCAGGATCGATGTAAACGTCAGAGGAGAGATTAGGGCTCACGATGGCTGGAGGGAGATTAGAGCTAGCGATGTTGCCGATGATCTTCCATGTCGCCGGAGGGAAGATTAGGATTCGAGATGTCAGTGAGGATCGCCATTGTCACCGGATGGGATATTAGGACTCAAAAATCCATGTAAGGAGGTAGAGAGAAAGAGGGGTTAGCTTTAGGGATAGGTTTTTGTGGAAGTGGAGAAAGAGAGGATCGAGAGGCCTAGAGGCAGCTGAGTCGAGAGATCGCAATCTCGAGTCTGAGGGATCACATGCAAATTGGAAATGATACCAATAATGGTTGCATTTGAGATTTGAGATCCAGTTATGTTTTAAAACCCACATGGAATTGGGCGAAATCCGAAATTGCAACTGTTTGTGAATCTAAACACTAGAATTGGTCCTATTCCAGAATTTGAAATTAAATCCTTGAATCCAAACAGACCATAAGTTAATTTGGGAAAATTGAAGGAGGTTGATGTGAACTTGTCCAGTGAAATCCACAGAATTTGATGAAAATTGCATATTAGCATTATATTTTTGAAAATAATAAGAATATACAGACTAGAGTAAATTAGTTTCATACTTTCTTCTTGTTAATAATTTCTTCAGCATAGAAATGTTATGTCAAGTTTTTGACGTTTGTTCTGATGAATGCCATAATGATAATCAGTTGTATTTCACGAGAATTTTTACATATATTTTGAGAAGCCATTTCAGTATATACGAGGAATATGATGTTCTTATAAGACAAAGAAACCACAAATATTCCGACCATTCTTATTGCAAAGGGGGAAAAATGCATCTTGCAATTATCTTTACAACATTTCCATAAAACATTCTCAAAATCATTCCTGGAGATGTCATAAATTATTGATTATGCTATTAATCGACGCTGCAGCATTATTATCATTTTTCCTTAACTTTTTCTATGTATAGTAAAACAAGTACTGTTCTTTTTTTGTTAGTTTTTCTGATTTCTTTATTTTTAATTCTGAAGGTTCTTTCACTGAATTATTAACATCATTCAGACTGGTAGCTTTTATTTAGGCTCCGCGCATAGCATATGTAAGAAGCCTTTGAAGCAGTATTACTTGGACATTTCATATTTTAATACAAGTATGAGACATTTTCAAGGTTTAACAGGGGACACGAAGGACTTACGGCAGCCTAAACCATTTTCAGGTTGATGTCACATTTCTTCAGTATCAACACTTCATAGGGAAGATCTCAAGCCACAAACATAGAAAGGAACACCTAATCTGTTTTATGAAACGACAAACTGAATGGTTACGTCAGTATAAACATATATTTGTACACAGATCAAATGCTATGGGTTTCCCAGTACCAAAATTATGAAGGGTTCTGTAGACCTTCGGGTGCACATCTATGCCCTTGGCCATCTGACCTACGTTGAAGGGACCTTCATTCTTTTAAATTTCAACTCATAGACATACCTAATGTATTTGTTACTTGAAGATTGAGAACCTTTATTCCTTAGGCACATATTTTAACTGGACTGTATGCTGCCATTTATTCGCGTATGTTCTATGTAACATTTCACTAAAACTTTGTCATTCATGAAAATATATATATGTGCAGATGCATACGATGTGGAATTAGTGCCAAGTCCACTCCCCATATGCGTCGTGGCCCGGAGGGACGTAGGACTTTGTGTAATGCATGTGGAATTGCATGGAGAAAGGTGAATATTAATTCCTTCTTCATGCAGTGTAAAAGTAATGTTATTAATATCATGGTTCCTCTTTGCACTTGTTCATGGAAGTTTGAGAACCTGATAATTGCATTATTACCATCAACCCATGGCTGTCTGGAGTATTTTGTGCTGCTACTTGAGCTCGACTAATATGAGTGAGCTCCAGGTGCCATAGGTATCTGGCTGCTTTTATCTATACTATTACTAACACAAGATATGCATTGTAATGTTTGGTTTTCAGTTCGTGACATCTTCCAGTCATGTATAAATCGTGGCAAGTATATCTAAGTCTGAAAGTAAGAATCAAATAGAGGAGGATGTTAGAAATCTCCTTGCAACCAGAAAAGATTTTATAAGTAGCGTTAGGCTTGCAAGAATATACTTTTAAAGCACAGACTGGGCCATTGTTTGGTTGTTTACCTTCATGTTGGTGGGTTTCTTTAGTCAGTGGGACATCCTTTTTGTCTTGTGGGTAGTGAACTAGGTGCATCTCTGTGTGTGCTCTACTACAAATCTCATGTCACAGTTGGGGCGGGGGGATAACTTTTTATCCATTAGATGTACAAAATTGTGCATTACCTTCACACACTGGAGTGTAATGCACATGGAGAAGTCACATTAGATTTATGTATTTATGTAACAAATCTTTGACTAACTAATTACTGAATATCAAACTCTTATTGAATTATGTGCATGCCCATGTGTTTGTTTAGGTGTATGTGAACTTAGTGAAAAAGAGCTTTTATAGTTCTATCAGAATGTTTTATATTTAGTCCATAAAGTTCTGTGGTAAAGATCTTAGGTTCTCTAGCAAACCAAACATAAGGTGTGGCAGTCACTACATGCTAAGTGCTCTTCCCTTTCCTCAATGGAGACATTCTGCCTTAGTGACTTTGCTTTGTTATCATTTTGGGCTAACATAAGATTGAGTAGTTAAACCTTTGTTATCGCGGTGACCATACATGCTGATATTTTCAGCTAGGTATTTCTTCTTAGATTCGAGGAAATAAATATAAAAAAAAGTTTCCAGGTCGATTTGTTTCCGCTGTGAACAGAGCTTATTTCTTTATTGCCCTTTCTTGGCAAATATAGCTCTTCTTGAACCTATTAGATTACTATATTCATGGGGCTAGAGGGAGATGACTTTAACTTTCTTCATGTTTAATTCTCATTTCCACATGGAATGTTATCTTTGGATATTAATATAGAGAAAGATTATGTGATTAATGTAACCCAAACTCATATTCACTAATGCATGGGTATGTCTTTACTGGGTCATCTATATGAAGCCATAAGTATATCCATTACACTCTTCAAGATCTCTGATCAGTTTACTTCTAAATGATATAGCCAGGTTCAAAATTCATGAAGGAAACCCCTATCTGATATCTACTTTGATACCTTTGTTGGCTGCTGGAAATTTATGCTGTCATAAATAAACACTACCCATAAAAAATCTCACTACCCTAGCCGATCTGATGTCATGGTAGGACGCGCATCAGGCTCAGTCATACTGTTACCAATATAGAGATTGCTGTGTGACCATTGGAATAACTACCTTTTTCTTCCCTTGTAACCTCAACAATTTTCCCCCCCTAGAAGCTTTACCTTCTGGGAAAAGAATAATTGTGCAAAGATCATGAAGGTGATGGCTATAAATCTGTCCTGGTTTCAAATTGTAGGTAGTTGATTTGACAAGATTTGATCTTTAACGAATGATTTTGTTTTAGTTGAATGGCCAAGTGTGTCATGAGACTCTTTTGAAAATACTTAGGTGATGTTGTGGGTGTGTTTGAAATATTTCAGTCCTAAGTAATATATTAACAGTGTGTACATAATTTAGGTAAGTAATTAAAAGGTTGTTCTAAACCTTCTCTCTTAATGTTTCTTTATATAGATGCATACATTGCATTCTCTCTCTCTCTCTCTCTCTCTCTCTCTATATATATATAATTCTCTGCCTCGTTCTCATTCGTTCTCATCTAAGTTCTCCACTCCTTTGGTCACGCCTGATTCACATGTGCATGTGTATTTCCTTGGCATCACAACTCAACATGGAGAAGGTTCCATATGATCTTCGGACTAACTTTACAACCAGCTGTCAAATGACATCACCGTCTAAGTTGCACCAAGTTCTTTATCTATTATGACCTTCCCTAGGCACTGAGACGGTGGAAGACTACTAACCTAGATTGCTTCTTTTCACGTAAATTCTAGTGCTTTGTGGATAATAACGCTAAAGTTAACTTTAAGTCTCATTATTAAACTTCTCTCTGTGGTATCTTCAAACTTTCTGACGGTCTCTCCTGCTATTTGCATTTGTTATGATTTCCTAAAATTCATGAATCATGTTAGGTTTCAATGAACAGGGAAAACTGAGAAAAATAATTGAGTTCAATGCTTCAAAGGAAGAGGTTGGATGTTCAAACGTGGCACCAGAAGTAGGCATGGAATTTGAAAACGAAGACAATGCATATGAATTCTACAACAAGTATGCTGGAGCAGTTGGTTTTAGTGTACGAAAGAGCTGGACGGGTAAAACAGCTGGAAATGTAACTAGATCAAGAATATTTGTTTGCTCCAGAGAAGGCTTTCGCCATGACAAAAAAGGAGCAAAGGAAGTGAAGAAACCAAGAGCGGAAACAAGAATAGGATGCCCCGCACGTCTCGTCATTAAACTTACAAAGACCGGTACATATCGAGTGGCTGAATTTCTTCCTGATCACAACCATCAGCCTGCACCTTCTTCAGCAACACACTTGTTAAGGTCCCAAAGGATATTAACTGAGTTTGATACTCCTGAAGGGGGGTTATCTGATAATCTTGGAACACCGGAGGCGATGAATGAATCTTCAAGCCGGAAATTGGGAGGTTTTCAAAATGTCAACTTCCTTCCTATTGATTATAAAGTTTCTATTCAAGCAAAACGAATGAAGGACATGCATCCGGGAGATGCTGAAGCTGTGTTAAAATACATGCAAAGTATGCAGCTTAATAATAAGTCTTTCTTTTATGCCGTACAGGTAGATGAAGATGACAAGATGACCAATATTTTCTGGGCAGATGCTAAGTCAATGAAAGACTTTGGCTACTTTGGTGATGTGGTATGTTTGGATGGAACTTATAAAGTAAATGGATATGGTAGGCCATTTGCACCATTTATCGGTGTGAATCATCACAAGAAACCTGTTATTTTGGGTGCTGCATTGCTATATGATGAGACTGTAGAAACCTTTAAATGGTTGTTTAACACTTTCAAGATTGCCATGAGCAGAAAACAACCAAAGACAATCCTGACAGACCAGTCTGCAGCATTGACAGAAGCACTGGCTGCCGTGTGGCCAGGCACAAGTCACCGTCATTGTGTGTGGCAAGTTTATCAAAATTCTATCAAAGAACTTAATCACATCTTCCAAAGTTCAAAAATTTTTACGAAGGATTTTAGCAGATGTCTATTTGAGTGTCAGGATGAGAACGAGTTTCTAATTTCATGGAGGACAATGTTAAATAAGTATGATCTTGTAAACAATGAATGGTTGGCGAAGCTATTTGAAGATAGGGAGAACTGGGCTTCTGCATATGGGCGACAAACATTTTGTGCCGACATGAAAAACACGTTACAAAGTCAAAGCTTGTGTGTTGAACTAAAGAAGTACTTGAGTCTACAACTAGATCTCTTGTCCTTCTTTAATCATTATGAAAGGATGTTAAATGAGCATCGATATGCAGAACTACAAGCAGATTTCCATGCCACTCAAAGTTTCCCCAGAATACCTCCTTCAAAAATGTTGAGGCAAGCCGCCAATATGTATACACCTACAGTATTCGAAATATTCCGGAAAGAGTTTGACATATTCTTGGATTGTATGTTGTATAGTTGTGGTGAGATTGGGACGATTAGTGAATACAAAATTAGTGTTGGAGAGAATCTTAAAGAACAACACTATGTTACATTTGATTCCTCTGATGTATCCATTGCTTGCAGTTGCAAAAAGTTTGAGTTTATGGGAGTTCAATGTGGCCATGTAATCAAAGTACTTGATGTTAGAAACATCAAAGAACTTCCAGAACGGTATTTTTTGCAGAGGTGGAGAATGGATGCCAAGTCTGAGATAGGATCTTCAACTGATGGTTCCCTCAAGTCTAGTGCACCTGCGTCAGTGCACATTCCAGTTGCTTTGCATGTTCAGTGCAAGGGTTTCATAGCATGACTCAGCTTTGTCAGGTAAATTTGACAAATTTTCAAAACCAACCCCTTTCACTATTTATTTTCAAAAAACGATCACTTTTGCAAAAAATTTCAAAAACCGACCTGGTTTCAGCCCTGGAGCTGAAACCAGGTCGGTGTTTGAAAATTTTTATACGAAACTTCACGGGAGTTGAACTCCCGTGAAGTTTAGTAAAACTGCTAAACTTCACGGGAGTTCAATTCCTGTGAAGTTTCGTATATATATTTTTTGAACTGCGAAACTTCACGGGAGTTCAACTCCCGTGAAGTTTAGCAGTTTTACTAAACTTCACTGGAGTTCAACTCCCTTGAAGCTTCCGAAGTTTTTTCACAAAAACCGACCTGGTTTCAGCGCCAAGGCTGAAACCAGGTCGGTTTTTGCAATTAAGTTTTAAAGGGGTTGTTTTCTGGGATTAAATTTCCATATAGGTTGGTTTTGAAAATTTGTCCCAGGTAAATTCTTCTATTTGTGTTCATTACTGGGAAATATTTTAGCCTGATATGTAATTGGTTAGGTAATAATTGCTCATCATATGGTAATCTCCTACTCCCAATCTTAGTTGCATGAGCACACTCTTCAAGTAAAACTGAGTCAAGATTGCGGACTCTCCTAGATTCTTCTGTTCACAGTTTCTTAAATGACTCAGATCCTATGTTACACGTATTTGAATACAGATTGCTTGAGATTAGCATTAAGATGAAATGCATAACAACTTTATAATATACTTTTTTTTTCTCCTCTTAATGTCTAAACTTAGAATAGGTTGTGTCCTGATCCAATATGTCACTCTTCATCCTTTCAAAATTTTTGCAGAATTACTTTGACTCCAGATATGCGCGCGTCACCAACCGTCGGAACTTCTTAATTATGCTAATCCAGAGACTGCATATCAGGGTGAGGCACTGTCTATGCTTGGTGCGTGGATGTGAGTCCCTAATCCTTTACTATCGACTGAAACATGACTTTCATAATAAATGATCCGCATTAACTTGGTATCTGAATGTCATGGAATGCTTGAATTGGTGACTTATTAACTTAGGCCTCTAGGTGATGCCTGCTCACATAGTGAGTCTTGGGCTATAATCGGATGGCTTAGCAATCCTGCTGGTTTGGGTTCGGATATATGGCCTGACATGGATTTTCAGTTTCTATGTGACATTATTTACTTAGCTCACATGTTTATATCACATACTTATTATGTTAGGATACTTGAAAAGTAATTTTTGGGCTTATTGTGGAAACCATATTTAGACTGACACCATTCTGGGTTATAAGAGTTACGGAGTTAACACGAGCCAAAATGGATTCACCATTGCGAACTACTTCAACATATGAGCATGCTCTTGAATTTTTTAAGTCGCTAATGGCAGTTTCTAGACTTTTAAGAATGTCTGCCTAATCCCTAATCAATTATCAGGAAAAATCCCTTTGGAGTGATTCAGTACAGATGGGAAGAATCAGAATCAAACCCTAGACCATACACTTGAAAGAGTAATAAGTTCTCCATCTTATATACCTACTTTTTCTGGATCTTTGCTATTTTTCCCTATCCTGAAGAAGCTGCCTTGCCTGAAAATTTTAGTATGACCTGTGTGCAAGTATTTACATATAAACATAGGTAATAAGCAATTTCTTATGGCAAAGGGAAAAAAAATTATTACAGAAGATTTGTCTGAGATATAATTTAATAACTTACCTCGGCATCCAAGATAAATCCAGATGATGTATGTTGGTTCACAATATGGATTTGATGCATGGCATATTTGTGTCCACTTGATGATGTATAGTGATCAGGTTTGAAATAATGACACTGTATAACATAATGTTTGACTTCTTGATAGTTTAAAGCACATAATGGTTGACTTCGCAATAGATAAAAGCACATATAGCATAACACAGAGTAGGTTACATGTTTTATTTTGTTTAAAAATTAAAATATCCAAAATAATTTTAATAAATAGCAAAATGATTCTAAATAAAATAATAAAGTCTTGATAAAAATTCTAATTTCGTTAGAAGATACGCTAATTTACTAACAAGTATCTCAATAAAATGTCTGAAGGTATCATAACAAAGATGTATATCTTGTTCAAAATTTCATATTCACTTTCACAAATCATAAATTCAGAATCACAAGTATAATGATGTCACTAGATATCGATCATGATCAAGCAAGAAGCAATCAAGGCCTAACAAACAATTCAAAAGCAAATACTTACTTAGTTCAGGTCTTGGACATAGCCAAAAAAAGTTATTACATTCAACTTATACTGATATAACGCATGTTATAGGGTACATTACTGAAACAATGTATTTTGTAACGACAATGACGATGAAGCCTTTATTCCAATTTTTTTCAGGCTTTTATTTCGGAGCGCTGATGTGTCACTTCACAATGTTCTTATTATATTGAGCTGATATATTGCCTCAAAATGTTCACTTCTCATTTTCTCAGGGCTGATGCCCATGTCAGAAACTATACCATGGAGAGAGCCCTTCGAGTTGTTTCTGCTCTGAGATGAAATTGATAGGCATATGTAAATACTGTAAATTTTTTGTTGAATATATATGCGCACAAAAAATAGAAGTGACATCTTTTGCTCGACTTGAGTTTTTCCGCCAGTGAGGCTTGGCTCATTAATAAAGCTGGGTTATGGCCTTTGTTTGGAAAATGTTTGATATTCCTAGTTAAAATGATATGTAATAAGTCCGTCTCATCCCAAATTTTAAATGATAAGTTACTAAATCCGTGCTTTCTTTAAATTTTGATGCATATGGTGGTTAGTGTATCTCAATCTTGGGATTTTTTTTATCTGGATATGAAGGCTTTTTCATGCAGTTGACAGTTACATTGCAATTATAGTTGCACTGAAGGCTTTTGCATACAGTTAACACTTGCATTGCACTTCCAGTTGCAGTGAATCAAAACTACCCCTCAGTTGAAGAGAAGAATAGAGTTGTTGAGATGCAAGTTTAATCCACCTGCTTGGACCTTTTTCTTCCTTTCACTGTTTGGTAGAAGGTCATTACTGTGGGAGAATGTCAATGTCTCAATACTACAATTAAAAAAAAGGGGATCCTTTCTTGTAGATTGCTAAAGTGTCCTGCTATGGACCCCACTTCTTTGTGTCTAGTAGTATAAGAATAACACAACTCTTGTAGTATACTTAGCATTTTCCTTCTAAAGTACCAATTTGTCTATTTTCCCCTCTAAACTAAGTGTATATATATTCAATGGTGTGAGCTCATAGTTAAATAATCAACAAATTAATGATGTAATAGTGTTTTTTTAATTTTTTCATGACCTTCGGCTAATTCCGATACTCTGAAGTATCATTTTGTCTATTTTCCCGCATAAACTACGTGTATGCACTACCTATTGCGGTCATTTTCTAGACTTTTAAGAATGTCTGCCTAATCCCTTTAACATATGAGCGTGCTCTTCAAATTTTTAAGTTGTTAATGGAAGTATCTAGATTTTTAAGAATGTCTGCCTAATCCCTTATCAGTTATCAGGCAAAAATCCCTTTGGAGTGATTCACTACAAATGGTAGGAATCAGAATCAAATCCTAGACCATACATCTGAAAGAGTAATAAGAACTCCATCTTATATACCTACTTTTTCTGGATCTTTGCTATTTTTCCCTATCCTGGAGAAGCTGCCTTGAAAATTTTAGTATGACCTGTGTGCAAGTATTTACATATAAACATAGGGTAATAAGCAATTTCTTACGGAAAGACTGTCGGGGGGAGGGGATTACAGATGATTTGTCTGAGATATAATTTAATAACTTACCTCAACATCCAAGATAAATCTGTTAGGTCTCTTGTTTTGATGATGATTTACAAACCCCATTATTGGTATTAATTGCTTGTTGAGTGCTATAACGCATGATGTATTTTATCAAGCATTTTAGTGCCACTGTTGGAGGATGGATGAAATTTTGCACCACAACGATGATATTCAAGGAGGTGGAGACAATTTGATGAAGAAGAGCTTTCGGACGCAAGATATACAAGAGGAGCTTCATCAACAAATTAGCAACTATCGAGCCTCAAGAGTTGTATACATTTGTGAGCAGTATTTAAATTTTTATTTTCTCTCTAGATCATAATGTAGGCAAGAATTAACGTAGATAGCTTTTGAAGCATTTGAGGATCACACACACCTTTTCAAAATTCGTATTTTTGACATTTTGGCAAAATAATGAATTTTCACAAATATAAGGAGCTATTTGAAAAATTCCTTCTCTAACATACTCATTTTCATATTTATAAGTATTCTCCCAAGTTTTATTATTTTTAGAGTTGATTTAATATTTTAAATCATTTTTAGAATATCAACAAGTCTGGAAAAATCAAGTGTCTATATGTATCTGTTATCAGTCGACCGACACTATTTAATCAGTCAACTGAAACCTCTTCATCGGTCGATCGTAAAAGTACAACCAGTCAACCGATCAGAAACAGATTTTCAGACCCTGCAGGCTGGCGCTCATCAGTCGACCGATACATGTTCATCGGTCAACCGATGATAGGTAACCAGTCGACCGATACACACATATCGGTCTACTGACGGTGTTTCCAGATTGTTGTTTCAGCCAACAGTCGACTCATCGGTCGACCAACCATGGTCCACCGGTCGACTGAAAGTACTGTAACGGTCATTTTTCTAGACTCTTGGGTTTTGGGAATTTTGTTAGTTTTGAGGATTTTCTTGGGATTTAGGCTATTGTTTTGAGTGCCTATAAATATCTTCCAGCCCCCATTTGTTCAGTAACAAAAGCAAGCAAGAAAATATACTTGAGTTTGTGTTTTTGTTTGTTTTGAGCTTAAACTTTCATCTTACTCAATTTCGGTCTTTCACGTTAAAATCCCACAACCCCAAGCTTCAATTGTCATCTCTTAATCCTTCTATAGGATTGCTGTAAGAGAGATTTTTCCATATTATTGTATTGTGTGGAGAGCTTGATCTCGAGGAGATCATTGTGTGGATTGTGAGATCTTGAGGAGATCGTTGTGAAGAAGTTTCAGCTTCCAAACCGGCTTGTGATTAGTGGATTACCATCGGGAGAGGTGGTCGGCGACGTAGGTCGAGAGGACCGAACCTCGTGAACACATTTGGAGCTTCATTTGGCTAACTATTTTCTAACCTTCTCTCTCTCATTTGTTGTCTTATTGTTATATTGTATCTTGTGTTGCATTTGTTATATTGTAAGGTAATTTCATTTGGTATCAGAGCAAGGTCTCTATATTTGTTGAGGTTTAATCACCTTAGAGTAAAGATCCAAATGGACTCAAACATGAATGTGCATATACTTGAAGGTCAATCAACTACTAGACCTCCTTTATTTACCTGCAATAATTTTGCATATTGGAAGGCTAGGATGAGAATTTATTTGCGATGCATTGATCTTGACATTCTAGAGATTGTAGAGAAAAATATATTGAAAAGTCTAGCAAGGACATGATCGAGAATGAACGGTAATTGGCTAATCTCAATGTTAAAACCATGAACGCCTTGATTTGTGGACTCACTCCTAATGAGTATAATAGAGTCTCTACGTGTGCAACCACACACGAAAATTGGGAGAAACTATGTACAACTCATGAATGAACTCCTCAAGTCAAGGAGTTAAAAATTAGTAGTCTCATGCATGAATATGAGTTATTCAAAATGCTTCCAAATGAGTCCATTGATACTATTTTTTGTCGCTTTACTAACATTGTTAATGAATTACATGGTCTTGACAAGGTGTTAGAGAACCAAGAGAAGAACTACAAAACTCTTTGCTCTCTAACGTCGGTATGGAAGCCCCAAGTTACGGCCATTGAGGAGGCCAATGATCTCACAACACTCCCGCTTGATGGGCTCATTAGAAGACTAAAGGTTCATGAGAAGAAGATCAATGAGAAGGAGGAAGAACCCCCACGAGCAAACGAAGAGCTTTCCCAAAAGATGAAGTCAATAGCTCTCAAAGGACCAATTGAGAGCAACTCCTCCTCATCTGAGAGTGAAATTGATGTCTCCAAAGAAGTGGCACACCTCTCAAGCAGAATATCAATATTGGTAAAAATGAATAAATTTTTTAAAAATAATCGTTCTAACAAATTCTCCTCTCGTGTAGGTAAATGCTTTGAGTGCCATGAACCGAGACATATAGCAAGAGATTGTCCCAAGATAAAAGAAAAATACATGATAGTGATGGGAAGAAGGCGATGTATGCGGGATAGGAAGAATCCGAACCACGCGATTCAGATAGTGATGAAGAAGCCGTCAAGTGCCCCTTTCATGATCTAAACGTGTGCTTCATGGCTCATGAAGATGAGGTACAATCGGACTCCAATGATAAATCTTTTTATATGCAATGTGAACTAGGAACCACTCTTGAGAAATTAAACATTGAATTTAAAAAGTTAGCAGAAGAACATTCTTCTTTCAAAAAAATTGCATAATTTATGTGACTCAAAATTTAAGCAACTACAATCCTCACTAAATGATGTCATTGCTTTAAAGGATAAAATAATTAGAGACATTGATTTTGAAAATAAACAATTAAGGTCTCAATTTAAAAAATTGAAAAAATAAAAAATAAAAAGGACATGTTAAAAGTTAATCATGCTTCTACTAGTAATGCTCATCATCATTCTAGAAGAAGATGGTATCATAGATCTCATGCCCCTACCCACAAGAAAGACTTTATTTACACATATTGCATGAGATATGGTCACACCTCCACACATTATTGGATTAAAGATAATGTTTATTATTATGAGTTAATATGGGTACCTAACATTATTGGATTAAAGATAATGTTTATTATTATGAGTTAATATGGGTACCTAAGGGTACCAAGAGTACTAACATTTAAGGATCCAAGATTTGGGTACCTAAAGTTTCTACCACTTCTTTACATGTAGGGAACGTCTCGCACAAGACGTAGGAAAGTGTGGTATATTGATAGTGGTTGCTCTCATCATATGACAGGTAATAATGATTTATTTACAACCCTATCAAGGAAGGAATGAGACAATGTTTCCTTTAGTGGCGGGGAGAAAAGTAAAATGGTAGGTATCAGTACTATTGGTAAGAAACATTCTCCTGTTATTGAAGATGTCTATTTGGTTAAAGAACTTAATCATAATCTTCTTAGTATTAGTCAACTTAGTGACAAAGGCTATGATGTTATCTTTAAACCGAAGAAATGTATTGTGAGTCTTAAAGATAAAACTAATTTTGTTGCCCTTAGAAAATCTAATGTGTATATTTTTGAGATGGATGACCTTGTAGATCAAGATGTAAAATACATTACCGTGGTGGATGAGGATCCTTGGACTTGGCACAAAAGACTTGGACATGCCCACATGAGATTAATTTTCAAGCTATCAACGAAGAACTTGGTAAGAGGACTACCAAGCCTAACCTTTGTTAAAGATTCTCAATGCGAGGAGTGTGCCAAAGGTAAACAAGTCAAAAACTCTTTTAAGTCTGTTAATAAGGTATCCACCACTAAACCCTTACAACTACTTCATCTTGATCTTTTTGGTTCTATGCGTGTTGCCTCACTAGGAGGTAAACATTATGTGTTTGTTATAGTTGATGATTTTTCACATTTTACTTGAGTTATATTTCTTGCTAATAAAGATAAATGTTTTGAAGAATTTGCCCAT